CCAGCAGAATGGAACCTATCCCATGCAACTTCGTCTGGCATATGCCGGACCACACGGCATGACCGTCAGCTGGAACACCTACTCGCAGTTGCCTCATCCAACAGTTTGCTTTGGGCGCAGTCCCAAGCATCTAAACCGATGTGTCTCCTCTGATGTCTCCGTCACCTATCCCACTTCCACGACTTACAACAACCATGTCTCGATAACCGGGTTGGAAGCTGATACACTGTACTACTACCTGCCTCAGCATAGCAATACGACTACTCCCTACACCTTCAAGACTAGCCGTCGCGCCGGTGATCAGACCCCTTATACCGTCGCCGTTGCGATTGATATGGGTCTCATGGGTGCCATGGGTCTTACCACAAGTGTTGGAAAAGGGGCTCACAATCCTCTTGGCCCTAACGACAACAATACAATCCAATCCTTACTGGCCCAAGGAGTCAACACTGACTTCCTCTGGCACCGTAAGTCTTCTCAAAGTAACATCTACTGAGCAAAGATCTAACATCTCTCAGCTGGTGACATTGCGTACGCCGACTACTGGCTTAAGGAGGAGATCCAAGGGTTCCTCCCTAACACCACCATAGCCGGTGGTGCTGAGGTGTATGAGAGCCTGCTGAACCAGTATTACGACGAACTGTCAGTTATTACTGCTCAAAAGCCGTATATGGTTGGACCTGGTAATCATGAGTCTAACTGTATGTATTTCCCTGTGGCACAAATACTTTAATCATCTGTTAACCACCACCGCAGGCGATAATGGTGGCACCACGGATAGTGTCCACAACATCACCTACAATGTTAGCATCTGTATGCCTGGCCAGACTAACTTTACCGGATTCCGAAACCACTTCCGCATGCCCAGCATTCAGTCTGGTGGTGTGGAGAATTTCTGGTACTCATTTGACAATGGGATGGTCCACTACATCCAACTTGACACTGAAACAGATCTTGGTCATGGAATAGTCAGTCCGGATGAGCCTACTGGAGCTGAGGGCGAAGATAGTGGTCCCTTTGGCCTTTACGATCAACAACTTAACTGGCTTGAAAAGGACCTGGCTTCTGTTGATCGGGCTAAGACTCCATGGGTTGTTGTTGGTATGTGCAGACCGAGTACTTGACCACATGATTTGAATACTAATATTGACCGTTTATTCAGCCGGCCACAGACCCTGGTATGTCAGCGGTAAGAACCAGAGTGGCACCATTTGCGAGAACTGCCGCGAGGTCTGGGAACCCCTGTTTTTGAAGTACAATGTTGACTTGGTCCTGTCTGGCCATACCCACTACTACGAGCGGAATGCCCCAATTGCCAACTTCAATGCTGACCCGAATGAGTTGAATAATCCCACTGCCCCCTGGTACATTACCAATGGAGCTGCAGGTCATTATGATGGACTAGATTCACTGGTCCGCCCTCTCCAGAGCTACTCTCGCTATGCACAGGATACAGCATATGGATGGAGCAAATTGACGTTTCACAATTGCTCGCATTTAACACATGAGTTTGTGGCAAGTCGGAATGGCACAGTGTTGGATACTGCTACATTGTTCAAAGATCGGAAGTGCAAGCACTAGGTGCGTCCTGTGTGGAGGGTCTCTACTCCATACCAAGCAGAGTGAAATATCGATGGCACTTTCATAACAGGCAGATGTGAGGATATGGGCAACTGGAGATTGTATGCAATCCAGGCAGTCCCATCTAATGACAGTGTTGGAGATGGCCAGGCCGCCAGAGAAAGCAAGTATCTGGTGGTGTGGGCAACCACTGTGACTATAACTGTTGGCTAAAAGGATCTGGCGGAGGAGGTTGGGGATACTGGTGATGGTGCATTTTATTGAGGTAACCTTACTTCAGGTACTCTCTGTTTATTAGGCTGTAAGCTCTAGTGTTGACAGACTTCACTATGATGATGTCCCGCTTGCCTGCTTCCATGGACGATGCTTTTCCAACTTGCTCAACAATAATGAAAGACATTAGCACTGCAGTCTCCAAAATATATGCGAAGATTTTTAGTATCAAGAAGGAAAAAGTAGACATTATGCAGTCCAGAGAGTCTTACCACGTGGGCTCATGGTACTCTGACAACCGAAGCACTTTGACCCGCCAACTGGACCAGTCGCTCGCTCAAGTTGCCAACGAAATCGAGGGAATTGGCTCCTTGCCTGTACCTGGATGCACACCAGGTGACAGTGGACAACGTAGCAGTAGAGCTTTTGAGCAGAATCACGGGTAAAGTGATTGGGTTAAAATTTGGACCAGAGCCCTTTACTCTTAGTCACTATTGTATGAGAATCACTTGTGTTTCATCTTTTGGGCCCTCAAAGACAAGATGGGAGGTTTTGATCCAGCCCTGGTGCAGGTGTTGAAGCGGCTAGGGACGGCAAATGCTGGGACCCGGGAGGACCATGCAATTTCGAAATAAGAATTATTAGAACTGAGCTTTATTTCAGCGGATAGATGTATGAGTAAACGTTGCAGCACATCTAGTATCCTCATGGGGTATATTACTTTAGCCTGTGATGTTTCAGCGTTGTCTAGACTCTAGACATCTGAAGCAAATTTTCCCAAGATCAATTCATTATTCCATAGTTTATATCTATCTTCCAGAGGCCTGCATATCCGAATGTTTCCCTAATTGAGCCATGTCCTGCTCTTCACTTTGTATAAGGAAATTGAATTTTGAGAAGGGATTATCTGATACAATAATTTTTGGAGAAATGCTGAGATGGCTGGAAAGCTGGACACCTTTCCATGTGTCAGACCAAGGCTTCTTCCTCATGAGTTATGGGTAGATGCCAGAACCCATGCTGTGACCTATGTGCAAGCACAGAATTCCTCCACTGGGCGTGTTCTTCATCCTTAGGACGCATATCTTGGAGGCGCTCATCAAGGTTCCACTCATGCAACCTCCTTCCATAGAGCAACAACCTGACGACTCCCACGCGCTCGTAGATCACCCTGCCTTCAGGATAGAACAGGAGCTTTTGAAAGAGCTAATGAAGGAAAGCGATCAGATAGTCCGGATGCATCTTATAGTCCACCCCCGTCTCTTTTCTCAAGTAGTATAGTCTGTCACTTAAGGATAAGATCCTGGGCCACACAAACTCGTCTTCGGTAGGGATATTCGGCGGACCAAGCAGGTTCTCAGGGATACCAGTCTGAGAGCGGACATCCAAGTCAAGTGTCCCAATCGAAATATGCGCGTCTCCCGATGCATCAGTTGCGTCAACAGGCCCGCATTGGAGGAAGCGCTCTAAAATCCTGTAAAGTTCCCAGCCGCCCACGGGGCCGCCGTCCCCCCAGCAATAACGATTGTGCCAGCAGTCCCTGGGCGATTCCAATTGTCTTTTAAAACATAGAACTTGGTGTGCACATGTTCGAACCGGGTGGTGATTGTTTGCAATGGCATGAAAAGAATGAGGCGCTGACGATGGTACAATAAGATATCCACCTGATATCTGGACGCGGCGAGTCTGCTCAATGATTCCTGAGCTTCAGCTCGAAACTGGTGGTTGACCATCAAAAGTGGATAGTGCAGTGAAAGCTGTTCATAGGATGCATACTTGGTTCCAGAGAGCCATTTTACCGGCGGTGGGGTGGGGTAATTTGGTACACTTGCTTAGTTTTTCCTTTTTAGTTAGTTCTTCCTGACCAGAACGCACATATCTTCTGGTCATATTGACTATTACATAGATTAGGATATACATTCTTAGACATATCAAGAACATTGTCCAGTTTGACCTTAGCATGCTCAGATTCCAAGCATAATCATATTACCAGATTACTGAGAATTTGACATAATATTAGTGGTAAATGTCCCTGAACCCAACCGAACGAGGAATGAAGTGAGAGAAAAGGTTTTACAATGCACACAACCTCTTGTGCATATTCTTGCTGAAACCTTACAGTCAGAAGAGAGCCAGAAAGTGGCTTCAGACCTTTAATAATGCAGATGACATGGATATGTGGGTCCAGAGCAGCGCTGATGCCCCAGTACTGACAGATCTTCTCCTCCAGAGTGAGCATGGCCATATCCTCCTAGCACATGAAATCGGAAACGGGCTGTCAAACTAGCATCTTCTTATATGGTACATGTCTCCGAGCCATACATGGAGACTGGTGTGAGGATTGTGGAAAAGTCACGCATTGAGAAAGACCTGCTTAATGATATTGATATAACCCTTGCTTTTATCACCAAAGGCAAGGGGTTGAGGTAAATGAAACACACACACACACACACACACACACACATGGAGAGAGAGATAGCGCGCGAGAGAGAGAAAAACCATAATTAGTATGACTTTTCTAAGGTATGATGAAGGGTGTTGGCCAGGCCAATCCATATGTCCGCCTCTTGACAGCCTTCATTCTCAGTATCAGGATTTTCCCCGTTCCTGCTAACATTCTTCTCCTGGCATCATCGCACTGGTATTTCTCATCTTCTAGTTCCTATATCCTCTAGACCATCCTATAGCTAAGATACCAATTCAGAATAGCAAATTCAAAGGGTAAATTAGCATTATATTTGCTGAAAACATGTACATAACATGAGCAAGCTTCGTTGTTCATTGCAAATTTTGGGTGGCAAAGGCACAAGGAAAGACATTTTTTAAGAGATATAAGCATATTTTTGCAAGCATACTAATAAAAGAATGAGGCAGCACGTTCCTTGCTTCATGGTAAACTTGACTTTATAGCATTTTTGTTGGTGGAATTAAGAATGATGTCTGCACATAGTCCGCGCTGAAGTAGACAGTGCTGTCATTCATGTCTTATTCTACATTCTGCGCTGCAGTAGGCAGTGCTGTCATGTCTCATTCTACATTCCGCGCCGCAGTAGGCAGTGCTGTCATGTCTTGTTCTACATTGTCAAGGTTGAATTAAAACATGTCATTGTCACTTTAATCTTGAAATATTTAAGGGCCGGACACCACCAACATACAGCATCAGTCTAACTTACTCACCATATTGAATTTGCGGGAATTGAAAAACCATGTTCTTAAAGGTCTTCACATCGGCGCTCTTCCTTTCCACTCTCAGCAATGCACAAGCGGTCGATCTCGGCACTGCTGGGGCTTATCTTGTTCTTGCTGGCCAACAAGTGACAAACACAGGCCCATCAGTTCTTATTGGTGGTAACGTTGGAGTCTATCCCGGGACGGCTATCACGGGCTTCCCTCCTGATCAACCTACTGGTGGAACAATCCACAGCGCTGATGCAGATGCGCTTCAAGCGCAGTCCGATCTGGTGACTGCCTATAATGATGCAGCTGGCCGGGCACCTACTGCTTTAGTAGCAGGGGATCTTGGTGGTTTGACGCTTGTGGCTGGTACATACAAGTCCACAAGTACCTTAGGGATTACAGGCACTCTCACACTTGACGGTCAAGGAAATCCAGATTCAGTTTGGATCTTTCAAGTGGCATCCACTCTAATCACTCAAAGTGCCTCCCGAGTTATATTGGTCAACGGTGCCCAACCTTGCAATGTCTTCTGGCAAGTGGGAAGCTCTGCGACCCTGGGAACAGGAAGTACTTTTGTTGGGACCATCATGGCACTCACCTCTATCACGGCCACCACAAACGCGGTAATTGAAGGGCGGCTTCTTGCACGTAATGGGGCAGTGACTTTGGACACCAATACAATCACTATTCCAAGTTGTGTCACTCCGGTGACGTCGACATCAACCACTTCGACGACATCAACCACTTCGACGACATCAACCACTTCGGCAACATCAACCACTTCGGCAACATCAATCACTACGACCACGCTGCCCATCATTACACTGCCCATCATCGGACCCATTACGCTGCCCATTGGGCCCATTTTAAGCGGCGGCATTGGCAACAACAACAACAACAACAATGGCAATGGCAACAATAATAATAACAACAACAACAACAATAACAACGGCAATGGCAATAATAATGGCAATGGCAATAACAATGGCAATGGCAATGGCAATGGCAATGGCAATGGCAACAACGGCAGTGGCAAAAACTATGGCAGTGGTAACAACATCATACCATCATCCATAACTGACGCGAACAACCACCACAAAATCCATCACTATTACACTGCATATAAAGACCATCATGTCACATTTTCAAAAACATTCACAACCAAGTCATGCGATTCATCCACCACTCAAACTGCAACTGCTAAAATTGAAGGATATGGGACCTGGTAGCAGACCTAATCTCCTGTTTTCTACAGGCATGGTTCCCTCAACTAGGTTGCTAATACACGGGAGGAATGCAATGGTAACCAGGCACTCAACAAATCCATTGCAGAAGACTTTCCAGGATGTGACCCTTGCAGTACCTGGTCCATGACCTAGGAAACTTGATAGAGAAAGTGAGTAGTATATGACTTTCGCATACTATTACCAGTGCAACATGTCGAAGCCGTAATTCCAGATAGAGAAGATGTCAAATTATAGGAGTTACTGAAATACTATTTGCCTGAAAGAGTGACTGTCATGACGTTATTTTAGTACAGTGGAATAAGTTTTCTGATAGAAGAGTAGGCAAACTCATTTTTGTGTCAAGACCTTCAGATCAGGAAACTGTCTCACTAGGTTGGATCAAAGGAGGAAGCCATACGTCGGGAAGGGAGGCACCTCCTGCAGTCGGATGGAGCTTCTAGCAATAGCGTTGAATAGCCTTATGCATGGAATCTCGCACATGATCGGTCTCCCGGTCTCCATGATTCCCCAGGCTGATGGCGCCGTCAACAAATGCATGGGTCCAGTTCTCATCGATCTATCCTGTGGCAGATATGCAATGTCCGACATCAGACAGTGGAAAAAGGAACCGAACCGGCAGGAGGAAGAGCAGGTCTAGGGCGAACCGCAGCACGATCGTCCAGTCTGCGGAATGCGGGATGTAATGCTCGTCGTATGGGGCGGGCATGACTTTCTTCTCCTCCTCGCCAGCTTCCTCTGTATAGCCATTAGCAATCTGGTAGGCGGGGCGGTCCATCTCGTCCTGGTAGACTGCCGCAACGAGCGTGCTATCCAGTGCCTGTACTGGGATGGCTGTATTCGGACGTGTCCAGCAATTCTCCCGGGACAGATCGACCGTAGTCGACATGCAGGCCAGACTCTCCGTGAGGCCGTGTAGGTTCGCCAGCAGCTCGTGTTTAGTGTTGAATGGAACGAACCCCCATGGCTCGCATGACCTGGATCCTCGTCTTGTCGGTGCCCTGCTGAAGAATAACCTTGCGGATACGACATAGCGCCTCCGTGAAAGTCGCGTCGGCCATGGCCAGGGTACGACCCAGATTCCACGCGTTTGAGTAGGAGATATCCATGAGGCCCAGCTGCCTGTCCATGACCTGAAGCGACTCGCCGGCATTAGACTGTGTGTTGCGCAGACGATACTCGACGACCGACGGCACGGGGGTAGACACATGTGTGTCCAGCTGAACAGAGAGGGGAGCACGACGCGCTTACTGGCGTCGATGGGAAAAGCCATGGTAGACACGCCCTCAATCGAGAGCAGATGCGATACGCGACGGTCAGTTTGTTCGTCCTCTGCACCGGCGTGGGCCATACCCTCCGTGCGAACATGTCGCACATGGGCAAGGAACCAGTATCGTGAGACACAACAGCTGCTCTGGCCCGGTTGTGGCAGGCCCTCGGCGTTGTCGGTGGTGACGAGGCTATTGAAGAGCGCTCCGGGAATCGCAACCACGCTGGTTTTGGTTTCCATGGCGCCATTGACCTGCTGCACTGGTGTGACAGTTTGATTGGGATCCAGCTGGACCAGATGCGCGACATCCAGATCGATCGCCATGGTCGGCGACTGGGTGCGCTTGGTTTTGTCGGCGTCCGGTAGTCGCGGAAAGAGGCTATTAGGCCCATTCAACTGCTCATTGGTCAAGTGTAGCTCGTCGGGCTCAAATGTCGGGTCGTGGCTGGTCTTCATCGCGATTGAGAAGCGCCGCAGGGCTGTCGTCGGCCACACGCTCCTAGGGCAGGATGGCGTCGTTCAACACGACATGTGGAAGATAAGTGACAGGGGCACTGGAACTGGTGGTAGGGAACGTTGAGTAGATACAGTCGGGCGACAGAGCAAACCGCCGGGCCAGCATGTCAAAAGTCTGCGTCTGCTTGTCGAAAACCTTCTTGGTGTTCGAGTCGACGGTGATGGTCTGCTCGACAAGCACATGGTACATGCCTGCTCGTAGTCCGGGTACATAGGAGCTGGAAAGACGATGCTCCCCGGGCTGGAGAAGGGACGCGGTCAACTCCCCTGAGGGCGTTGAGTCGGCGCCGACGGTGGCGCAGGACGAGATAGCGCCCGGATGTGACGGGCTTGGAGTGACGGCGAGGGGGCGGCGTTTTGCCTCGTTTGTTGATGTCTTCTTCTTCTTTTTGTCAGGTTCGCTTATGACAATTCAATAGCTGAAATAGTGCGGACGATGGGGAGATAAATGACTCGCTGCACTTCATCTGGACATTCCTGAAAGGCTTTGGGGTTGGCCGAAACGGGCAACGGGGGGCGAGCCAATCGTCTCTGGATGCCACAAACCACGAATTAGCTCCCCATGATCTAGATTTCGGTGGATATTCATAGTCCGTTTGTATTCAGGGCTGGCGAGCTGAAAGATGCCATCTTGTGACCCTCTCCGATGAAAGTATGCAATTCTAGGCGAGGGGAGACTGAACGACGGAGGATTTGGATAGCTATAGAATGCCGTTGCAACTCATCTCTGTGTTTGTACATCTATCCTATTCTCTGCAACCAACTGCTATCAATCATACTGCAAGACCTGCTCACTGACGAACCTGTATTCGACGCAATTCATGTCCAGCCTCCCCTGGAGGGAATCTCACCTGACAAGCGATTGAGCCGGACGGGTTCTTTGGAAAGGCATTCCGTCAAAGTCCGGAATCCAAAACGTTCAAGCGCCAGAAGATATGTATATGAGGGTTGGTTGTTATTGTCAATCTGATGAAGCTAACAAATGTGTGTAGATACATGACACGTTTTGCCCTCTGCGGAGCACCACTCCCACACTCTCAACAGTACTTCATGTGATGCCCCGCTGTTTGTACTTATCAGCATGACTGGATGCTCTTTCTTAAGAAGCTGTCGAACCAGAAGGACCAGCTAGGCGATCCAGATGTCCATCTCAGGGCCAACGATCATCTCACACCATGGGTCTGGCGCCGGTACCGCAAAAGTTAGCAGAAACTCGGCGTTTCCTTTAGCAATCATAGCCAAACAACTCGCTCCAGCAACAATTGGTTTCGCTTGTTCAACGGTGGCTAGCATGTGGTTTTGAACTGCAATGCGACTCCTGCTCTCTCCATAGACTTCCAAAAGCTCATCATGGAAAAGGGAGCAACGGTGTAAGAATGCCTTAGATTCACCAGCATTGTCATGAAGCCCTCGAGACGCGGCAATTTCCCCGAGCATCCATCTGCTCGAGCTATTATTAATCTCGAGACTTCTAGCTTGCAGGATTCTCTTGGTTTGCAAAATCTGAATCAGCTGTAGCGACTGGGCCAAGTCCGCGAATAGCGCTGGTTTCTGTTGAGCAACCCATGTGAAAGCTGTTAAAACGTCGCCGTTGAACTGGCATTGTCGTTCAAGCTCGCTGGGCTCTCTAATGCTCATGAATCGCGGACAACTAGGGTGGTCTAAGTCCTGGAAGAGGATTGCAACCGACGGTTCCATTGGACCCGTCCAGTAATGGCTGCCTGTTCTTCGCTCTTCGTGATCACCCATCCAGATTTCATGTTCTGGGTTATCCGGTTCGAGCCGGCGATATCTTCGAGAAACACACCGCTGAACATCTTCGAAATCCACATCGAACATTGCGACATCTGTGGAACGATCGCTGGCGTCATAGCGGACCAATCGTTGCCCATCGACACTGTTGAAGGTAAAGAGCCCAATGCCTGTCTTGACGATAAGGGAATTACCTTCTTGGGAGATGCGGGATACCTTTCCAGACAGCAGTTTCAACAAACCACGTCTGGAAATCCGGCTATAATATGTATAATTATCATGCACTAATTCATGCAATCCGAAATCTTCTATCTGTGCAAACCCTTCATTTGCTTGTCCAGGCAATAGTTTCAGGGTGGCAGCCAATTTGAATGCACCACTACCGAAGATTCTGTTGCTTGGCGAGACGTAATCCGTACTCAGTCCAAGAACATTTTCTGGGAACCGAGGAATCCGGATTATGATATGGCCAGATGTGCTTCCAAGTTGAAGGTGATTCAGGGCTCTGTTCGTTCGGATCTTCTGGCCGACAGCTGTGGGAAGAGTCTCGAGGTCTAAGCCAAGTCAGTGTCCAGTGACATAGTTGTTTCACCGTCTTAGTACCTTGTGTGATCTGTTCTTCTTCACTCCTACTTTGCCTCTCGTTCAACACATCGACATAGAGTCTGATGGCCCCAAGAACCCTGATGTACCCACTATCATCCTTACCAGTGTACTTGCATATCTGGATGTGGTTTGCATCGATCCCTTCTCTGCCTTCTGAGGGATCTCCAATGATAGCTGAGAAATCAGGTACAACCTAACGCTCTGGTGAGCGCCCGTTAATATCCAAGAAGCGAAAGCTTAGACAATACCTTTTCGTTGAGTCCGAGGACACCACTCATGGGCCTTTCCTCATGGAAGCTATACGCCTTGATGTCGTTCATTCGCAGCATAATGCTGAACTCCTCCGCTATCATGTCCAGCAATTGATTCCCGACATTGAGCGAGTCCAGAACCGCTGTATTTGGTGAGCGAAGAACAACTTTCGAGACGTTTGCGGCAAGTTTTGCCCAAGTGGCCCAAGGAGACCCCCGATGCGGCGTTGCTAGGAAGATAACGCCGCAAGTGGACGTGTATAGACTCTGATTCTGGGGTTGAAAAGTTGCACCTTTCGACCGCCGAAGGACCTGGGAACAAACTTGTCAGCATATGATGCGCCTACTCAAGGATGCTAACCTCTTTGACTATAATACCACCAAGACTGTGGCAAACAAAAACAATTGGCCTGGAACTAGTATTTGTTTCCTGTATCTTGTTAGTAGATTGCAAGTACATATTTGATGTGAACATACCCTCCGCTTGAGTTGTATATCATTCAAAATATTCTGAGCGTGTTGTGCTATATTATTCTGTCCTGTTGCTGCAAAGAAATGCGTCACATCCGAATTATAACCACAACCCAAGACTCGGACGTGAGGCACGTCTTCTACAATTAGATCCCTTGGCCAGCAAACGGATCTCGAAGTAAAGCTTGCCGCATCCCGTCCGTTTGGTGACGGTGAAGTCCTCGGGGTTATTCTACCAAAGAAATCAAGCACGCGCGAACGTTGCTTGATCTGTTGGACGTCACTTGTCCATGTGCGTATAGCGTCGCCTCGCAAACCATGCACGAAGATTATGCTATCATAGGGTAAGCACTTGTAGAGACACAGATGCAAACAAGGCACATTACTCTGCAACAACTGGATCATTCCCATCGGCTAGCACAGTGATCCCAACGCCAGAGGATATTTCCGCCATCTGTCTAGTCGACTAGTAATCTAAGCTGATTTGAACAAGCAGGACTGATGGTAACTTCCATATATGATCAAGGCCTAGGCTGACCGTAGGTCATGTGAATCTCAGAAGTGAGGTACAGTCTTAGAAACTCAGAGTGCATTCCACGCCAGTTCGTATTTAAATGGTTATCATATACCAGCCATATATAAGCTGACTTTCCAACCCTCTTAGTACGAGGCTCCCACATAGTTGATGCAGCTGGCATGCGGCTGCAGTGGGGGGTTTTACTCAGCTGCTTTGGGCATTATGACTGGCAGAAAGAGAAGACTAACTAGTAGGGGGATCAAAGCTCGTCTAAGCCTGGTAGTCTATGGATCGGAGAACAAAAGAAAAGAAAACAAAAAGCCAAATCACGAGGCTAGAACGGGGGCTTTTCACTCAGCTGCTTTGAGAAATTGTAACCGACAGGTGGTGCTTATGCCTTGCTGCTAGGCCTGACCTTGGCAGTAACAAAAGAGAAGCCTGACTGGCTGTAAGAGCCAGCAGGGCTTGTCCATGCTGGGTAGTTTACATGCCACAAAATGCAAAGAAAAAAAAAGTCTATGTTGAGTCTCTGCCAACCAAACCACTCTCAAATTATAGCATCTTTAGTCCCACCAGTAACATCAGGACGCCAGTCAGCCACAAAGCCCTGGTTTATATAGCCAAAAGTCAACATTACCTTATACACATGGTGTTTGAGCACTACAAGGAATATGCTAATAGAAGATGTCTAGCCGTACTGTGCAGACCAGGCAGTGCTCCAAATAACGCATTTTCTATTGACTGGCATAGCCTGGCATTCCGTCTTGGGTTTCTGTAACTTGTTGGGCCCGATGCACCGCGAGCCTGCAAGCCCAAAGCAGAGAGCGATACAGACTACAATAAAGAGAAGCACCATATGGACGAGTATTTCACCCACAAGCTTCCCCGTGCCATTATCGTTTGCCTTACTTAGTCATGGGCATTTGATGGAGAAGCCCACTCTATATCAGTATGAGATGGCGGTCTTCCTTTAGGACAAATCCAGAAAACATGTGACAATACAGAGCATGAGTAGAGCGCTTGCCTCTATCAGGCAGTCAAAGAGAGCAGCTCAGCAGATTGCAAGGAACAAAATGCAGATTTGTGAGACGACTACCTTTACAACTTATCTTCATTCTCTTCATATCAGCTGGTTTTGGTAGACGAATCAGGTTCTAATGAAAGAGCCGGCTTTAGATGATCTGGCTGGTCCCCTCAGGGCTCTCTATCGCCTACTTTTCCAGACGGCGTCGAAGTTTTGCATGATTCCCCAGACGCCACAGTTGACAGATGTTATAATGATAAAAAATTAATAAAAATAGATAAAATTAAAAGGGAAGAAGTTTTAGGATCCCTAACGACCCGGCTATCACTAGAACAAAATTAAATTTATTATATCACATCTGTGGGGGATAATATTTATCATTATTTTGCCCTATAGCAATCTAGGTCTGATGGGCTTCACTCTGCTCAGATTCAGCGTCTTGCTGGTCTTCAGGGAGCACATAACACTGCACAATCTGGACTAGCTACAACCGCACTTTGAGCTGCGCGGATTGGGGGCCTCGTTAGACACGCCTCCTCTTACCCTGGCCGGCTTGTTGGAACATGGGAAGACTTCGGACGGCCACAGCTACTACCAGGGGGCGGCTGCGGTGGGATTCGCCCCGTATGTCTTCAACGCAGCGGTTCACTACGGCGAGAACATGCGCACAAAGATCACCCAGCGGACTCATCATGCTTGAGGCGGATGTGGATTTTCTACTGCTAGACCCGGCGCATGAAGAGGAGACATACACGGCCTCCCTAGCGTACTGCTTGCTCGACGGGCCGCTCTTCACCATCAGATACACTGAAATCCGCGAGCTCATCGGCGGCTTTAGCTACAACACAGCCATCATGATGCCCGCCATTGCACAGGTGGTCTCGTTCCCATTCCTGCGGGTGCCGCCCAGCGATGGCACCAAGGGCGCTCAGGCGGCCCCTCATGGGCAGTGGCTGGTTTGCTGTGCGCGAGGGCTCCTACTGGGTGGCGGCCAGGCTGACCGTGCTCGCCTTTGAGATGCTGGCCGTCAGCGCTGTTGTTGTGGTCTAGTGGAATCCCGCCGTCACGCTGGGCATCTTTGGTGTCGCCGCGGCCGAGATGCCCATGGGGTCGGCGGTGAAGACCCGATTTGCGCGGTTGCAGCTGGCCCTGGCCGCCACCGTCGACGTCAACGCCGGCATCCTGTCGATCGACGGCCAGCTCACCCCGGCCTCCTTCGTCCTAGACCCCCACTGCCACCTCACTGGCGGTTTTGCCCTCTATAGCTGGCTCGGGGCCGGCGTACCCTAGCTGCAGGGCAGCTGGGCCTTCACAGTAGGCGGCTACCATCTGCGCTTCAAGGCACCGACGCAGTGTCCATCGCCGCCGCGCCTGGGCATCAGTTGGAGCTTTAGCGATGCCATCAACATCACTGGCGAGGCCTACTTTGCTATAACGCCCAAGGTCTGCATGGGAGGTGGCCGACTGCACGTCACGCTGTCTGTGGGGCCCCTGAGCGCATACTTTGATGCCTACATTGACTTTCTAATACAGTACCGGCCCTTCAACTTCGAGACACAGGGCGGCCTCGCTGTCGGCGTACGCTATACCCTTGATCTGTGGCTCGTGTCCATCCCCATTGCAGTCGACATTGGCGCCACACTCTTCCTTGAGGGTCCCCCCGTCGCAGGCCGGGTGCACGTTGACTTCTGGGTCTTCGGGTTCGATATCAAGTTTGGTGCGCTGGCCATCCGCCCAGCCAGTTTCATCGATCTGACCGAGTTCTACAACCTGGTGCTACAGGCGGACACCACACCCCCGGCACTGCTGCCTGGTATTACCGTTGACGCCCCGCCGGTTCCCTGGCTCTTATCATGCACCAGCGGGCTCATCCCGACCCCCAGCGCCGGTCCCACGGGGATCACGCCCCGGCCAAGAACCGTCCCTGGACCGTATGTGGCGCCATCTTTGCCTTTACGGTCTCATGCAAGTTTCCCTTTGACCATGCCGACATCGTCACCGTGTCCCCGAAATGGTCACTCCCTGTCCCCCTCCAATCCGCAGGAGACATCTCGTCCCGGCCCATGGGGCTACCAAACAGGATGGAATCCTCCATCTTAACCATCACGATTAACCGGTGTGTCTCCACAAAAGATGTCGAAAGGGGAGACCAACCGCAGCAACAATAACTGGTCTGGGATGAGCACTCTGCGTTGACAAGCGCGCTCCCTGTCGCAACTCTGGGGCAAGTACCAGGCTAGCGAAGACCTCCTCGACGGTAGATCCAGCCCCACCGTCACCCTCAACACCCACGTCCACCTCCAGGCACCGGTGGAGCAGCTCTCGATCGACCAGATCGCCGACTTTTCGGCCGAGAAGACCATGGGCCAGGTTGCTGCCCAAACGCCGTTTCCTGCCCGGACGACGGCAAATGGACGGTGGTACGCGGCGGATCCAGCCCCTTCGGCGGCGGAGCAGTTTTGCAACGTTGTCGGCGCATGGGAGCTTCTGGAGCTGGGGGCGTCTGCGGCGCAGCAGGCTGTGTGGCAATGGGCGGCGCTGTTGGGTCGGGGAGCAATCCAGCTCAAGGCAGACCCACCGCAGCAGCTGATGGGTCGTTGGTTGAGTGAGGCTTATACCGAAGCACCACGGCTGACGGCTGTTTGTTGAGGGATGGTCTTTTATATGTAGCATAGGTTATGAGGTGGAGCAGAGTAGGAAAATCACATGAACTTCTCATTATCCCAGCTGCCTGAGCCTTATAGATGCTATTCATCATTCATGACCTACGGTTCCCTAGGCTACGGACCGAACCCACCATAGCAAATTGGGCGAGGGTCAATTCATTTCCGTGGTTCGGTTATGCAACTCTACATACTTGCCATGGGATTGCCACTATATAAGATGGTCTTGAAGGAAGGAAAGAATGAAGCTTTTGATATTAGTATCTATCTAGAAGAGAGAGAAAGAGAAAGAGGAGGTGAGGCAATCCAACCCTAGGAGATAGCCCTATAGATTAATGTAGGGTTGTCTGCTAAAGACTAGAGACTGTGACACTGCAGAGTAGGATTCCTAGATATAGAATACAACCATCTCATATCAACACTCTGCTACCACTATGTCAAAGGATGTCTCAGAATCCTTACAGTTCTCCAAAGTATAAAGGACAATTCATTTGGCCTTGGTTATGTCATTTCCTATGATCATCTGCTATCCCAAGAATTGTCAGAGGGAGACAGGGCTAATCATAATTCAAAGCCCAGCAGTCACTTGAGCTCGTCCCGTACGAAAAATTCATCCATTGCCAGAGATCCAAACAGCCGTTCCCCCTTTGATCAAGGTATCCATATGGTTTGTGCAAGGTATTGGACGTAGCGTACATTACCACCCTTCTCGCAGAGGTCCCGCACAAGCTGATTCGTAACTCCGATCGGATCCACGATCTCATCCTTCGTTCCTTGGTAGATATACATCGGGAACTTAGGGGCCCCAGTCCTCCCCATAACGCCAATGTTATCCAGCGTCTCACGGAACTTATACAAGAAGTGATCTCCGTGCTTGAAAAAGGACGAGATGTTCCTGAACGCCAGAGATGGGGGAACTTCTTCCACGCCGAAGTGGCGACTGCAGCGTCTCATGGGACCATAAAACTCCTCGCGGTGCTCATCCAGCAGATCTTCGTCGATGTATTTTTGTATCTCGGGAACCGCGTTCATTATGCCTAGCACTGCCCACATGTTCAGCTCTGCCCATTCTCCCCCATTGCAGTAAATGTAGGTGTTTGTAATGTTGGGAGGAGGACCGCCCATGGCAGCACCCACAATCTGGGTCAGTTCCGGCGCATACCTGGGCTGCATCTCGGAAGCCCATTCAGTGGCATATACACCACTGGAGAACCCGTACAGTACCGTTCTGGCGTTAGGCTGGAGGCTGACTTTGTCTTTGAAGTTGAATGCCGCACGGATCGAGTCGAGTGTGTGGTAGGCTGTCTGCGGGCCCACAGTAAAGGCAGCGTTCCAGCCCTCGTAGTCAGGAATATTCAGGACTGGGCCGTCGTCTCATACAAACGGTTCCACAAAGGATAAATCCATCATATTCCAGGATAGGGAGGGGCCCACCGCGCCAACCTGGAGCCCGTATGAGGGGGAGCAATTGATGTCTGGTGAGTCGTAGGCGGGCTGCACGGATCGGAGTGGGTCCTTCTTTGTGTTTTTGGGATGACTATTGTTGTGACTGAGTGGGTTGGGTTGTTGTTTAGGTCCTTGGTGACGTATAGGAGTTGATATGCGGTGGCAGTCGATTGATGTGCACTGGGCGGTGGTCTATGATTGTTCCGGGGTCCAATTCTTCCCACGACCCTTCCTTCGGTGTATAGAGGTTACTTTGTCCCTAGCCAAAGTAGCATCCATTATGCTCTAAACAGACTTAATGTGATTACTATTGCAAGGTAATTGCTGATAGGCATTTTGAAGGACAGAGCGCCATAAATCCTTCAGCTCAGCTGCAGCGGTGCTGCAGCAATCCAGTGTTAATTTATGATCAGTACATGCTATCCTATTCAATGTAAATAGTTCAGCATGAACGCTCTCCACAACATTCCAGTGAAATTCTGTAAGGGCAATTAATGAGCTACCTATTAGCTAATACTACAACGGTAAGGTTCAGTTCAGACAGGGATCAGACAGTAATTGGACCGCTCCTGTTGACAAAAGGGATCAAAAAGTTGGTAATACGGACTACTTTAGCATCCAGTGGTTCTTGTGTTGTTGCCCATCTCCAAGGCATGAGCGCAGCAATTGATATTGGTAAAAAGCTGTAGAGTGCTTCTGAGATAAGTATCCACTGGCAGTAATAAACCTGGTCACACTGCATGGTAATACTGCATTCAGCCAAAAGGAACTATTCCCGTGCCATTTTGAATCACAGAACAGAGATGCGCTTAGAGCTATCGAGTGGTATGGTGTATAACTCAGCCCTGGCTGACTTCCCTGAAGTTGGTCAGTGACTTTGACGCCACCCTTTTCTGCTGAAGGTGAGTAACTACAGCATTGCAACGTCAAAAGCACCATGATTCCCCCACCCATTTGCTACTTTCAGCTCCTCTAGGTTAGTTCATGGTGTTCAGCAAAGTTCAACAGTGTATCCTGAGCAATGACCATGTTGAAAAGCAATTTTAATATTGTTCATACCCCTCTTTTTTCCCACCCTACCCCACCTGCAGACCTCCCAAGCTTACTGTGAAAACAGCAGCTCCCACCACATTAATTATCAGCTGAACTGGCGGATGTGATATAGCATATGTTGGGATGCATGCATGATGTGGAGATTACCTTGCTAGCCCCCAATTAGCTCTTCTTAGGAAAGGTGTCCATTGCGGGGAAACCCTAGGCTAAGTTGCAGTGAGATTTCATAGACCTGTTCTAAACACATTAATCTAAGCTAAGAGTGTTCAATGTCCGTGGTCCCTGGGAAAGTATACAGAGCCTAGAAGAAAATGAAATTCTAGACTATGGATAGAGTTCAACTTAGTTAGGGTGCACTTCATACAGAGACAACCATGGTTTGAAACTCACGGAAGACTCCGAGCGAGTCCCTGCTCCGTACCAGAGACGGTTCATAGGTGGGTCATGTCATCTACAAGGGCTATGCTGGTTTCAGCTGAAATGTAGGGAAGATGCTACTTCGTGCATATGAGGTTACGTGTTCTGCATGTAAACGTCATTGATCACAAGGTTCCCAAGTTTCAAAAGTACGTGTAACTGGGTTAGAATGGATGTAATACCTACTCTATACTGGGAGATTGAAGTATAAGAATAACCCAAGCTAAGGCGGATAATTCTGTCTCTACTAGATCTCAAACACCAACAGTTTCTCCCTCGCACCATTTATTCAACCCAGATACAATACCATTCCTCCAAAGATGCAGAAATTCTACCTATCCGCCTACGCGAAGCCCAGCCTGGGTGGACTGGCAACCGGGAGTGCCACTCATGGCTACGGCCACTGGATGCCTGAGAACGTCGCACTTCGCCGAGCCTGGCTATCTCACCTCCTGGACAAGGCTAAGCCAGAAATTCCCCGAAAGTTGAGAGATGGCAAGGAGAACCCCGTCGAAACATTGAGGAACCTAATTGAAAACAACTCAACTCTCTATATGCTTGCCCATTCCATGTTCGATGAGGTCCCTGAAAAGGCCCCATACGATAGGGACCCGACCACACTCAAGAAACAAGTCCGGAACTACAAAACCATGTTATATCTCTTCAATACCCTCTTGACTGAAGTGCCAGAGTACTTTTTGGCGGACAGCCCCGACGTACCCGGCGGTCTTATTGGGTTTCCGTTCAATATCATCGTTGACTGGCCGATGGGTACGGAGAGCGGTCGTCAATTCTTCCTCGATCCCAGAGTAAATGAGGCTCTGAAAGCAATCTTGAATACATGGAATGAGTTCCTCAGCAATCCCAAGGGAAGGACTGGAGAAGAGGGTGGAGGCAACCAAGCACTGATCGATGCTGGTTGGAGCTCAGACCTAGCAGTCCAACAGTTGGAGAAGAAGGCAAATGATGCTACACCTGGTAGTAGGAGAACATTCACAGAGCTATTCGAGCACCCCGCGGGCGGCACGCAGGAGAACTTCTTCAACTATCCTCATTGGGATGCATTCTTTACGCGCAAGTTCAAGGCCGGGGTTCGCCCCGTGGGCGAAGCGGCCCTTGTCAACGCTTGCGAATCGTTCCCTCTTTCATTTGACACCGAAGTCTCGGGCCGCACTACCTTCTGGCTTAAGGGCATGCCGTATTCGCTGTACGATATGCTAGGAGCCACGCAGGATTCTACGGTCAGCCAGTATGTTGACAGATTTGTCGGCGGCACTGTGTATCAGGCCTTCCTGAGTGCAGACTCTTACCACTGCTGGAATGCCCCTGTCAACGGCAAGGTTGTATACCGATCCCTCATCGATGGAACATACTTTGCCGAAACAGGTGCTGCAGGATTCGGAGGTTCGAGTGGACCTGATCCAGCTGGCCCAGATGTGTCGCAGCGTTATATCACTCACATAGCAGCACGGGGTGTTCTTATTGTTGACACAAATGTCGAAAATGGCTCACATATTGGATTAGTGGGCTTCGTACCGGTAGGAATGTCCGAGGTATCAACCTGCCAATGGGAGGAGAGCACTGCTGAAGGGAACACTATTGCCCAGGGAGATCTCATTGGGGCATTCCATAGTGGAGGATCAACTCACTGCCTGATCTTTGAGCGTGAATATGCAAGACGGTTGAATTTCAACCCCAAGGCACAATACCCAGAGATCGCAACCGTGAACCTGGCTGTTAATAGTACACTAGCTACTCTTTAGGGTAGATGTTGCTTCGTCGATAATCAATCTCAGAATCGACTGTGTCATTTCTGGTCGACTAAAACTTGACTAGGTGGGTTTAGTTACGGGAAGGAGCGAGCACTCATGAAGATTTGAGATAATCAATCAATTTGCTATTATTAGTTGAAGCATGTATTGACGTGCAAAGGTCTCCTTTTAGTGGCAATTCCCATTTGAACTACAGCCCTTGATGACACGCGGCGCTTGAGACGTATCCAGTCGGCAAAAACACGAAGCTTTGATGGAAATATCTGCTACAGCGAGCGCCAGCTTTACTGCAGGCTCGACGACAGCCGCTTCCTCCGTTCTTCCCAACCGCGTCAAGCACTCATGATACCCTTGGAGCGACCAAACATTGTTCGGATGACGGCGGGGACGAATCAGTGTGTCATCGAGTCCAAGGTCGGCGCGATACACGTTGGCCGCTTCCTCGAGATGGCCTTGTTCCAGAAGAAGGGCCGCGTAGGCATGTCGAGTGGGTTGCATCCACGACCATGGTTCACTGTATGGGAGCTTGTCATCAAGGTCGATGGACTTGCGCAGATGCTCAAATGCCTCTGCGTAGTTCTGGCGGCGATACTCGATTTCTCCATCCAGCATGGCCGCGGCCACGGCCAGAGTCTGAGTACACTTGCTGTTGTAGGCACGACGGGTCTCTGGGACAAGTTCACGCGTCTGCTGGAAGAACTCTCGTTGCCTTAGGGCTCCATCTACATCCCCGGTAGCCGCATAGGCAACTCCCTTGGCGTAATGTGCAGTTGCGGTCGTAACTCTGTACAGTTTAGAGTCATTTGGTAGTTCCATTTGTTTCAGCTCCTCCCACATTCCGAAGCGCACCATGACATGTAAGCGAGCTGACATGAAGTTCTCTAACCAATCAGCCATGGGCGGGGATTGAATCCGTAGGACATCTTCAGGGACTGAAGCCTCCATCCGAGCAACCGCATCCAGAGCTGTCTTGAGTTTCCCGGCAAACATGGCGGCATAGATGAGGGAATGGTAGTCGTGAAGTCGATAGAACGTGTAGAAGTTGTATGGACCTGTACGACGCACATACTTGTCATCAGCGAGGGTAGCCTTGTAATTAGAGTCAATCGAACGACGCCAATCACCGATCAGAATGTCGAGATGAGTAGGCATGTGGTGGATATGGCCTGCATCGGGCATCAAGTCTCGCAGCTGGTCGGCGACATTGACACCTAATTCGGGATTAGGTGACATTTCAATATAGTGAATGTAGAGGTGCAGCAGTCCTGGATGCTCGTCGGGCCCTTTTTGAGCCAGAGCGCGTTCCAGTACCTCCTTGACCTCCATCGTGGCCGCTTTGGGATTTGGTTCGCCGGTAAACAGATCCCAGAGCGCCCAGGGGGTCTGATTCATCAACGCATCTGCGTAGAGGACTGCAACATCCAGATCATCGCCAAAGGCTCGATACACAGGCTCCATCGCCGTCGCATACCCATGATTCACTGCCAACTGCTCCGCAGCATTGGGTGGAGAGGCACTCTGAAATCGCGATTGGATGGCTTCGATCAACCCTTGCTCGATTGGAGTCGCGTCTTTCGCATGTTTCTTAGCCTTGCGTGATGCCTCGTATCCCCGTTTCATGCATGCCTTCAAGTCTTCTCCATCAAAACGCTCCCATGGTTTGTTATAGTTGGGACCCACCGCATACGCCAGCCCCCAATATGCTATGGCGCATGAAGGATCATGAGCGATAGCTTGTTCAAAGCAGTAGGCGCCCTCCATGTGATTGAAGGCATAAACCCAACTGAGGCCACGATTGAACCAGGTCTGAGAATCCGGGTTGGAGGTGGTGATCTTCCGACCGAACGAGCCGAGATCGTAGTATTCTTCACTAGCCAACACAGGTGGCATGACGTCTGACTCACAAGACATGATGGTGAGGAGCTATACCAAGAGTAAGCAAATCGGCAAGGAAGGAGAGGCGATGCTGTGAGGGAGGTTCTTTTCATGCCAGACCGAGCTGGTTATATATGTAGAAGTGGCGTCCTGAGAAACATATGATACTGAGCCATCGGCCTTTGAAAGCGATATCATCGAATCCGCGGGACCGGTGGGACAAATACTCGAATCTCTGTGATCTGATATAGATCTATCCGAAGTCCACTCTCCAATATCCACTTTCGGCCTTTGTGGTGATCTTCTCGGAGTACTTCAGGACTCGATCTTGCCGGAGCCTAAGGCCATCAAACCCCCGACCGTAGCGGGGTGATGACTAATATGGCCAGTCGACAGTCACTCTCCTCTCTCCCATCTCTCCCATGATTGAGAACTCATGATGAGCGACTGACAGTCCGTCTTGAACAATGACCTAGAGTCAACGCTTACTACATCTTCGTCCATCCATATTTTCCATTACTTCCCCCGCCCAGTGTGCCGCGGTATGAAGATCGACCTGTATCCATTCGTGTACAGGACACGGATCCCAGCCGCTCCTGCTTGCCTTCCATATCGAGTAGTCCCTTGGGATTAGCACTAGCAGCAGTGTTAGTCTTGATCCCCATGCCTGAGGATGCTGATCTGATGAGAGAAACAGCCGTCAAGCTGAGATGGTCGTACTCTGAGCTGTACGCACAGTCAGCCTTGGCAGTGTTGAGAGCTTTCTTGATGATTACGAGGCTTTTCCTACCGATATGGATTTGTCACGAGCTCTGCACAGTCCGTTGCAATCAAGCCTCCCTTTTCCTGTGGAGACCGTTTTGGCGCCGGCGCTGCTTGCTATCTATGAGTACGTCCAGCGAAGTAACATCGCTAGGATGCGTGCCCGAGCCGATCAAGCTCTCACAACGGCCATGGATTTATCTCTACACACACCTGGCTCCGGTAGCTCGGAGTACTCGGTCGTGCTTCGTCGCGCGTGGTGGATGGTGGTCAGTTTACTTCCTCTCCGATGAGATCCTGCTGATCCTAACTGCTTGTTCGCTCCCAAAAAGCTGTTCTGGTCTATCAGTCATCCATTCAAACAGCTTCGGTATGAGGCAATCACTCACTGTATATTCAGCTGGCAGTCCTCTTTGTTTGCGGCTAATATGGCTGTCTAGCCACCCATCATTACCGTTGATGATCCTCGGATCACCACTCCCTTTCCCGAATTTCATGGCTGCCGTGAAGTTCGTATCGCTGCGATCTTTGTCTCTTTGTCGAAGCTCACTCAATTTTTATTATCCATCCGTGGCCCTTGCTGGTAAAAGCTCAGAAGGCACTCATCAACAGCTGCTGTATCTCCCGAGAGCTGACCCGGGAGAGGGTCGAAACTCGGCTTCCTCGTTCGCTCCGGGATCAAATCCAGGAACTCGACGCATTCATTTGTGAAGTTGCGACTGAGGCAGATCGATTCCGATGCGTGACGAATTATTCAGGAGCTGAAGCGGACGCCTCTCGACAATATCTCGCGCTTTGATCCACACCTAAGTCTTTGTGTTCGCGACATACTCGCTTTTCCTGTCTAACTTGCATTGTTGCCTTCTGCTGGGAATATAGTTCTCGCCTTAAGTTACATCGATTTCGCGCTTTTTTGGACCACCCGATCTTCCTAGCAGATCATTGTGACCTCCCCTCGATCAACGCCGCTGGGTTCTTGGGTCTGCCCCATCGACTCTCCGCCAGCCGGATGGCCGACATCGAATGCATCTTTTCCTTCACAGAGCAGGACTCTACCTCAATCTGCCTCAAATCAGCTCTTGTGATTTCGAGGGTCTTTAAACATCACTCCTCGCCAAGCCCATACTCCTCTGGCATCGGTCTAGAAACCGATGGGAAAGCGTCCCGCACAACCATGGCGTCGCGTCCATCAAGGTCGCCTGAGTAAAGACAGGAGGTGCTGCATCTTCTACTGGCACTGCAAATTATGTTATGCGCAGTGTTTGTGGTCGGATATCATTCCCAGCTTCTTGAAATTCGGACTGTCTTCCGACCCTCAAACTGATAGATTGATGTTTCACCTCCGAGAACGATTTCTGCCTCACCATCCTTGGATATCGTCACCTCCAAATCGCCGTATTCAGTCCACCTCACCGAGATTTCCCCGGCCGGCGTGACGAATGTTCCCTCTGCGCTCTTCAAAAGGTCTACTCCAGGCTCTATGCGCAGACGCTTGAATCCGGGTTGAGCCGGCGTCACGCCAAACACTCGCGTAACTATCTCATTGACCGGGCACGCGCTCCACCCGTGGCAGTCACTTCGCGCATTGTGCTCATGTTCAGCCCAGGTGGTCAAGTTATCGGTCATCATCCGTCGCCAGGGATCCATCAGCGTCGCGAACATCTGTGTGTAGAGACCGACTTTCTCCACGGCCCGGAACAAGTAGAACTTCATGGCGTAGGAGCACTGAGCCAGCGACGGGTCTTCCATTGTGCGAACCATGAGTTGGCGAGCTGCGGCGCCGGTTATCGTCTCGGAGATGACGGCAAAGACCTGGCTGTGCTGGCTGTATTCCGGAGCTGACGGCCCATCCTGGTATAGTCCGTCTTTGTAGCAATGGCGGTTGACTGCGTCTCGAATGGCCGCTGCGCGTGTGCGATATTCAGCAGCGGTGTCTTTCCTTCCAGCGAAATCGCATGCATCAGCTGCTTGCATCAAGGCGACGGCATAAAGCAGGCTATTGAAAGTGGCAGCGCCCTTGGTGTGGTATGCTGAGGGCATGCATGAGTGAAAGATCTTCCCCGGCACAAGCCATTGAGGTACCCAGTCAATGAAGGGCCACTTATCCTCCTCGAAACGGCCCACAAGACCCAGCTCATTCAGTCGCTCGTCGAAGTGGTTGAGTATCCCATCGATTGTGCCGAGATACCGACGCACGAGAGCGGTGTCGGCGAAATATTTCATGTGGTCGTATACCATGGCAATCCAATATAACGAGAACTGGGGAATTTGTGTACTACGAAATCCGGCAGGGAATTGTGCCTTGATCAATCCGTCAGGGCACCGGCTCGCATGAAACTCTTCCATTGTCTTCCGCGCCAGTCGGTCGTCGGGGGACAGCTGGTAGGTGAAGAGCATCTGCAACCGGGAATCCGATGCGAATTGGTTTTGCTCATAAAAGGGGCAATCCTCGTATGTTTCGTGTCGGCAGTTTTGCAGTGTGCGCAAACTTATCTCCCAGATTCGATCCAATTCTGGCTCCGCCTGGACACGAGTGGTGATCTCGAGCAGGTAGAACGTCTCGCGCAAGGTGAAGCTCTTGAGAGTCAGTGGCCGTTCGGCCGTCGTGATGTGCAACTGGACATATCGGAATGCCCGGAACCAGAACGGCTCGAATGTGTGGTCGGGTTGACCATCTGCAATCACGTAGACGTCCTTGACGCCGTACAGGCGACCACCAGAGTCAGCGCGGTTGGACTTGGAGCGCGGCATGGGGAATGGAGCGGTTTCGACACCGAGATCTTTCTCGTAGCATTCGGCAAATAACATGATGATACTGGATCCCCTCCCACCGCCGCATTGCAAGTTAACGAATGCGGTGGTCAAGGAAGCAGCCTCTAAATCCACCGTGACGCTTTCCCCAGCAGGGATGGTCACTGAGGCATTCCCTTTGATCAGGTCGATCCATCTTTCACGGCCCATTGAGCCCTGGCACTTGACCACCCCGTCAAACTCTCGGTGGTGCTCCGGAAGTGCTGGTATTGGACGCGGCAAAAGTCTCCAAGGGCTCTGAATTGGGAGCATCTTGACGGCATTCGATTGTAAGACAGCCTGTTGCCAAGTGGAGTCGTCGAACCCTGGGAGCTCCCAGCCAGAGAGCTGCTGGCATTCCGTAAGTTTCTCGTTGTTGCAGATGAATGGAGGGCCGAGGATGTAGTTCCACTCTGATTGAGGGATGATCTGCCGAGCTTTCTCTTCGATACATTTCCACGATGCATCTGTGGAGAGGGATAGGCCCTATGGAAGCATCGCATGCATCAATGGATATACATAGGTTGAATTCTACCCGACAACCACGCTTACCTCAATTCCTCCGTGAACCAGGAACCCCGGCAGCTCTGTACTGATGATCGACGAGGAGCCCGCATAAACACTGGAGTAGCGAAGGACACGCGCACTGATGATGTTTTCTCCCTCCACCAGATATGGCCGGATGTCGACTGTCTCGTAGTACCATCGCTCCGGGTAACTCTTGCAAGGACCAAAGCTCGCGCGGTGGCCGTTGACATACAGTCGGTAGCGACTGTCAGCGGAGACATGGACGGGCAGCTCTTTTAAATCCGAGGATAGGCTCCATTGGAAGCTTTTACGAAACAGAAAATATCGAGCAGGCGCATTATCTTCTTCATGATGATTGGGTGCCCAGATCCATTGCGCTGACTTTGTCCAGGATAGAGGTGACATGTTGAGTGTGAATTATATGGATTCTATGATAAAATGAAGGTTTTCTAAGACAAACCCGAGCACTGTGACTTTATTTGATGGGAAGACGAGGAGGGAAAGACAGGACCGGGAATTCCATGGCTCAACTTGATTCTCGGATATTCCGCTCGGCCGTCTTTTCCCCGACTTTCTCCATCCATCTCCACGGATTCCGGGGTATGGGATGCGATCAAGAAATCAATGGATATACTACTGACTTATTGCTACTGGTGGTCCTGCTTATGGTTTATGGAAGCACTCCGTGGACTGAGAGACACTAATCTATTGTGCTCCCACCGCAGCCAGTTATTCCATGAAACATACCGGCTTAGCAGTAGTCGTGGCACTGGAAGATCCGAGGTACACCGTACTTTCATGACTTATTGTCTCACATTCCAACGTCAGTCTTAACAATAAACTCTTTGCTCCAAGGCATGACTGCTTCAATTTCTCGGTCATTATCCATGCAGCCTAATGCTGTCCTCACCCCCTGGCCCCTTAACAATCATTTTTCACATAGCTGTACTGATTATCATCAGAGTGAGAAAGCCTTGTGGCTGTCAAGGATGAAGCCAAATTGAAGAGGCAAACAGCGCAATGATGCATCATACCTTGGAGGCCAGTGCATCAACAACTGCTGACTGAGCTGAAGCATCCAGCGGAGCCACAGTTCCAGCAGGTTCTCGAGCCACCATCGCAGGCGCTGCAGTAAGAGTACTGACGCTTGGCAAGCGCATCAACGTCCGCGTTCGGGGTGGGAGCAGCTAGGGCGCTCATGGAAAAGACGGCGACAAATATCAGTGAGAGCTTCATTCTGTCGGTATATTCAATCACAACAGTGCTGGGATGACGCGAGGCGCAAAAGACGTGGTGCGATCAATGGTGAGGAAGATTGTCTGTGGATGTTCGATGAACTCAGATTCTTTCCAGCTTGACATTGGGCATGGACACGTCTTATATGCTTCTCTCAGGAGCCGATCTTGATCCTAAGACATGTCCATGCCGCCTGGCAGATATCGATGCAATCCTACGGAATCGCGGCGCGATACCCCGGTAACGCGACCTATAGTTCTGTTCAGATTTATTCCTTTGGCTCTCCAGTGACTTCGGATGACGTTCCACAGCACCCATATGTATTTTTGGTGTTCGTAGCAGCCTTCTCATGGAATCCCTCGGTGGCAGGTCCGTGGTATAAACAGCATAGTAGGAGGCCTGATGCAGGGGTCTAACCTCACTCTTGTAATCCTGAAGTCACTTTTGCAGAAACAGCCTCTGGTTATTGAAGGATGATCGATTACGACGGACTTAAGATTCGGTCCGAGAGGATCGCAAAAGCCACTTTTCACTTGTTGCTTAGCCAGATGTGTGAATGGATATTCAGCCGCGGTCATGTACACGATTGACCATTAGGAATGACTCCAAGTGTTGGAACCAATATGAAAAGAACGCCTAGAGCCACTAAGTTGACTATGAGCACATCAAAGCTGATTTAGATAGTCCTGCATGGCCCCGCACTCCTGGTGGGATTGGAATATAAGCAATCAATCATTGGACGTAGCTCAGTCACCCCCAGAATCCCAGAACCTATCATGGCTAATTGCTTCAGCAAAAGTGTTCCTGTGGGCCGCTAGATAGAGCAGAGTCCGAGGTGGGGCAATCGGGGGCCTTAAGAGGACACGTCTAGATCGGAGGTAGAATGCAGCTTGTATTTCACCAAGGCAATCAACCGAAAAGGGGAAAATAAATCACGACAAAGTCTACGACAACGAAGACTACCATGCTCAAAAGTAGCTTAGATTGAGGCGAGTATTGATGGAACTACCTTGCAGATGGCCCTACTGCCTGGACATTGTAACAACCAACAGTGCTGATACCAGCGTTACCGTCATCAATCCAAGACTGAATAGAGAGGTCTATTTTCTTGGTCTATTTGGCTAAACGAGAGTCTTAGTATACAGCAAAATGTTGAGAAGAAAATACTAGTGCCGCAGTAGAACGTGCCTCATCAAGACAACAAATCTGGACAATCGGTTGCATTAAACCGGGATTGATCCGTCTTATAGGGCACGCTACAGGGCAGCCAGAGCGAGGCAGACGGCAACGACAGCGCCGAAGATGGAGCCCGAGAGACCGCTGGCAGAGTTGCTCAGAAGGTTGGAAGACGAAGGGGAGGAGGAGCTGCCGGTGGAGGAACCAGACTGGCCGGAGGCGCCGGAAGAGCCAGAGGAAGAGGAACCAGAAGAGGAGCCAGAGCCGGCGCTGCTCGAGGGACGCGCCGAAGAGGAAGAGTTCCAAGAGCCGGAGTAGGAGCCGTTGTAGGAGCCACCGGGTCTGCCAACGCTGAAGGTGGGCTTAGCAGAGCCAGCACTGCCAGCGGCAGCGGCACCAGAGGAAGCTGCAGCGGTAGCGAAGCCAGAGGCACTGCCACCGGCAACGGAGGAGGCCGAGGAGGCAGCAGTGGAGGAAGCAACAGCGGAGGAAGACGAAGCGGAGCAAGACAGATCGAAGAGGGGAGTGGTGCTCAGAGTGCTGCCGACGATACCAAAGCTGGGGTTGGGGGTAACGGGGCTGGCATCCTGGAGGATGTACCACCAGGTGTTGGTCTTGCCGAACAGAGGGCATCCAACCTCGTCCCAGTAAGTCTTGGCGTTGGCGAGATTAGCAACCCCGAGGTTCTCCGTTTTACCGCTGACGGGCCAGCCAGTCTCAGTGATCCAGACCTCCTTGCCGTTGGCGACCGCCTCGGTCTTGGCCACGGCGTCCTGGAAAAGAGCCTTGGCATCGGAGATGGAGTTGGCCATGGTGTTCTGGAAGTATGGGTAGCCATCGAAACCCAGCCAGTCGCAGGCATCAATGACAGCCGAGTTGGAGCCGTTGACCCAGGCGGTCCAGGTGTCAACATGGCCGATGGGGGCACCGCTCAGGCTGGTGCCGGCAATGGCGGAACGGACCTCGTTGATGTACGACACGATCTCATCAGGGTTGACGCCGAGGCCAGCGTTGGCCTTGACCCCGTCGACCGAGTTCCGGTACAGATCCTCACTGCCGACAGAGATACCGACAACGAGCTTGGCGAAATCATCCCCGTACTCGGCAATGGCGGACTTGAGGGCGGCGATTTCGTTGGCGATGTTCCCACCGGAAGCCCACAGACCGAGCAGGAGGGAGGTATCCTCGGCGATGGCGGCAGGGATGGCAGTAATGGGGGTGTTGGCGGTGCCTCCTTGCTGGGTGGAGGGTCAGTCTCTGAAGGGCCATGAGGAAAGAATGCATGGACACTTACAATCATGGTGTACAGGCGGGCACTGGTGAAGCCGGAAGTGCCCACCAGGTTCTTGGCTGTCGAGAATTCAGACTGGAAGTCAGATTGAGTCTTGGAGCTGCCATCCGACTTGGTGCTGCCATAGTTGAAGCCTTGGTACGCGGCCTCGGAGGTAGCGAGCGACAGAGCAAGGGCAAGGAGCTGTGTGAAATGCATCTTGAAGGTTCTAAAAGAGAAGTTGGTAGAAAAGAAGGTGCAGACGTTGATTAAAGAATGTAAGTATATCCGTATAAAGCGGTTTTAGATGGACAGAACGAGTGAATTGAACATTGGACGTCAAAGACAGAGACCAAGTTCGAGTTGGAGATGGCAAAGCAGATGAGGAGAAGAAGAGAGATGCAGAGATGGACAGTCCATAAATAAAGAATCAGTTCTAGACCCGGTGCCTGTTGACTTGTCCAGCCCAAGTGGGTCGGGGCCACGTTGGCTCCCATAAGCCAGGGCTTGTTCCGGGACTACAATATTACTACTAGTACCTAAAGATAGCAGTTACTGGATATTAAATGCATGGATGTGATTGCTCCGATACTACAGTGTGTGCCTAGGTTCCATGGAAAGGGACAAAGCCCTGAGATGGCCCTAATTCCCTCAGTAAATTAGTGGGCCCGGTTGACACAGTCGCTGAGAGAACAGCCAATCAGCAAAGATGTGGCAAATGCAACAAAGCCAAAGGGTTTAGTGCGGTGGGTGTTGGATCCACAAGTGGGCATCTAACATGTGATGTTGCAAATGAATCTTTCCCTTTCTGCAAACAGCCAAGTCAATAGTCAATAGTCCATAGTAACTCCATGTCAAGACTAAAGACAATATTTAAAAATAGCCCTCAGTAGGATATGTAATCATGGCATTTGCTCAAGGAGGTTCAGGAACAAGATCTAGAATTAGACTGATTCTACTAATTATGATCAATCAATGCCTTGAATGGAGCCCCTGCCCCTGATTCTCCTGGACGGGTACCTGAATAATCTGACAGAAGGAATGCTGCAGACTGTGGCACTCCATAGTATTATTATTATGGGTATTCCATATGATCTCTTCTCCTGATTACTCCATTCTCAAGGCATCAAGGATATCTCTTGTCTGTTTTCTTAGTACGTAGGTCTATGATTTATGAGAGGAGCACTCGGCTGACAGTGTAGAGACAAGTATACCGTCTAATTTGAAGAGTGACATTTTTGCATCGCCATTCTAGAAGCAATATCTCTACACCATACACCTCCGAGCTCATACAATGGGATTGGATCTCTTCCTGAACACAGGAGCAAAACAGAACAGGAGGTGATCGGAATTCTGCATTACAACCTTATCCATGTTCATCCGATGTTGGCTTTGCACATCCGCAGAATGTCCTTGCTCCAAGGTAGGGCCATTCCATTTCATTGTTCCAGTGAACAATGGCTCTGATAGGAGAACGGCTGCATTAAGCTTAAGTATAATCTGGAAAGTATCCTGCTGCTACATCATCTGTCTAGTCTGACCAAGAGACATGCGATCCTCTCGAGTATCTGGTCGAATGCTATCCACCAATTCTCTACCGTAGGATTCTATGTCGCAGTCCTCGTTACATTAAGTGTATTTCTGTTCGCAAGATATATATTTCCGAAAACATCAATTGACAGTGTGCCAGCAAACGAGACGACAATCCCAGAGGGATAACCCAACATTTAATTTTATACTTGGTATTCGACTATGACTTTGTTCTCAGCGTTTTCCGTACAAGAGATTCCCTACTGAATACTAGCCATACTCCTTTGAATATCAATGTGCCTCAATTCCGCAGGCTGCGTCAACCTGAATCACGTGACATTTATGACGATCAGCTACCGTTGACAATATGCCTTGATGCTTCCTCTGCATATGGGCGACCAGCAACACAGCTATCCCACATATAAACCCTCACGAGCCTTCTCACCCAGGAAGGCCATACTCTATTGAATCTTCAGAACAGGCTCTCAATCCAGGCGCCCTGCCTAGGATAAGGGACAGCTCCCCCTCCGCGCGCTGCCTGA